CTCATTGAAATTCCAAACTTTTTTAAGTTAATCCATCTTGACAGAGGNTAGGTCGGTTCGGCATGACAATAAAAGAAGTGTAAGTTGGAGTGTACCCGAGCAGCATGTGGGCGGCTCGACAGAACAGACTCATTGAAATTCCAAACTTTTTTAAGTTAATCCATCTTGACAGAGGACTCAACAATCCTTCCCTTCACAGTTTCACCTGTGCAAAAGAAAATCCAAGTCAAAAAAATAGAAATTCAAAGCTAAAACAGAAGGGTAAAAGATCAAATACCTAGCATGCCTTCTTCATATGGACAACCGTAGGAGAGAACAACACCATCAGCGTACTCCCAGTTCCCAGAAACATAGATGATATCATTCTCATGGCCTTTGTTGGAACTGGGAGATGGGTCACAAGGTAACGGCTCTTCTTCCTTACCGATAGGTAGTAGCTATNACCAGCGTACTCCCAGTTCCCAGAAACAAAGATGATATCATTCTCATGGCCTTTGTTGGAATCTGGGAGATGGGTCACAAGGTAACGGCTCTTCTTCCTTACCGATAGGTAGTAGCTATCTCCAGTAGCTTTGATGATGTAGCAATATAAGATCTCCCACAGCCCAAGACTCAAACCTAGAATCTTGTCCAAATAGAACACCCCCAAGACAATCCTAAAAAAGTTTAGACAGCATTGGAGGGGACAGAGCTTCACAGTAGAAAGCACCCAAATCAAAAAAGGGTCAAGAGGGAATAGAACACCACTCTCGGTTATGGCACANATAGAACACCCCCAAGACAATCCTAAAAAAGTTTAGACAGCATTGGAGGGGGCAGAGCTTCACAGTAGAAAGCACCCAAATCAAAAAAGGGTCAAGAGGGAATAGAACACCACTCTCGGTTATGGCACAAGTAGGAATGGGTATTGATTCTCGTGTGCCAATCAATGGCTCATCTTTTTCAACAACTCTAACCTCAATGTCATCTGGAATATTGTACTTGATTTTGAAGGCAGGGACTTCTGAAGGAGTAAGAGGATCCATGAAGAAGATGAAGTGCAGAGGAAGAAAAACGCAAAAAAAAAAAGGATAAGNTGTTGTACTTGATTTTGAAGGCAGGGACTTCTGAAGGAGTAAGAGTATCCATGAAGAAGATGAAGTGCAGAGGAAGAAAAACGCAAAAAAAAAAAGGATAAGAGTCTGAGAGTCTGGAACCAGAAAAGCAAAATATGAAGAAAGGCGGTTTATAAGGAAGGAGGAATTTTAAAGGGCAACATTTAAATACCCGGAATGTGCCGCCAAAATGAAAGGGTATGTTACAAAGTACAAGTGATGATGAATCGATAAGAAAACGGCTGACAGCCAAAAAATGTATGTCAGACGTTTTTATGGGAGCAAATGAAGGGGTTAAATCTCATGATTACACGTAACATGACATTAAATGTGCTCACGTGATGTTGACAAGACAAGGCACGTGATGAAGAATCCTCTATTAAGCTTTTTAACCAAGCCGAGCTAATTAGAGGTTCGAGAATGACAGAAAAAGTTCGGTTCTCTTTATGACCGAACTCATCAATTTGTTTAGCTAAGTAACAAAAGATCTTGACTTGTACCAAACTGAGTTCACTAAAGTGTTCGGGAAGGCGATAGAAGAAAATGGTTTGTACAAGACCAAAGCTCTAAAACTATTCAGCAAATATCAAATGTGCTCGGCGTATGACATGTCTGAGCTGTTCAAAACGATAGATGAAAAAATAAAAATTCGCCTATAACTTAGGCAATTAGATAAATGAATCAATAAAATTGTAGATATCAAGAGAAATTATTGGAGAAATATCAGTAACTTCCCAAACTGAATGACTGAATTGAAGGAGGGTGTGCCACCTTGAATCAAAAATCACGGAAACCCTAAGGGTATGACCATCTATAAAAAATGAGGAATCCAAGGTAAAAGGTACGCTGAACACTCTTGGTCTTCTTCCATTCGTTTCATTACCTTTATTAACTTAAGCATCGGAGTGCCTTCGATCGAAGCACTTTGATCTTGGACAGTTTGTTCATTTTGTAGGAAGAGCAAGACTGGGAGATGAAGTTCAGAAACTCATCAATATTTCTATTCTAGTAGGAGGTATTCTCGATTTTTTGCCTGCTACAGAAATGATTGCATAATTTAATCCAATAATGTAAAAACATATTCAATGTATTCAACATGGTGAAATTATAATCATTATATTTGTCATAACATACAGAATGAACAAATACCCATGTTAGCACTTGAAATCAAAAGTGTCATTAATTATTAAGAATATGCAAAAAAAATATTCAATTATACTTGCTTGTACTCCCGATGTGAGTCATAAAGAATCAAATGACTATTATATTACGATGTGTGGATATTTCAACAACTCCAATAAAAATAGAGGAACATTTTTTAGGATTTTTAGAGGTAGATATTACCTTGGGAAAATGACTTTTTGATGAATTTCTAAATGTTATAAAAAATAATGAACTTAATGTCAATGATATAAGAGGACAAATATATGATAATGGATCTAATATGAAGGAAAACCATCAAAGTGTACCAAGAAGACTATTAGATATTAATCCTAGATTATTACTTTGCGATATGACAAATTCTTGTCTTAGAGCTATGTCTTCTTTTGGAGTTGTACAACATATATATTTTTTATTTTCTTCTTCAACAAAAACGGTGAAAAATTTTACAAGAACATGTATCTAAACTGTCAAGTCATTGTCACAGATCACATCAGAAAAGTCACATTGAAAGTGTTAAGACAATAAGATTTTAAGTTTCACAAGTTAGACATGCATTATTTCAATTAGCAAAACTTAGTGAAGATCTCAAAACAAGTAGTGAGGCTAAATGCTTAGCAATATATGAGTTCAAAAATTTTGAGTTTTTATTAACTATGATTATTAGGTATGATAAATTATTTGTTGTTAAGTCTGTTAGTAGAAATTTACAATATAAAAATATGCGTATTGAATTTGACATAGATCAATTACATAGTCTTATTTCATTTTTAAAAAAATATATATAGAGAGAAAATAGATTTACCACTTCTTTGATCTCATCTAAAGAAATTGTAATGGAAATGAGAGTAGAACCTTTATTCTGTGAAAAATGTATCATTCGAAAAAGAAAATTTAATGAAAATCATAAAGAGGAGACAATCCAATTCTTCGAAGAATCTTTTAGAACTAATTATTTTATATATATAGTAAATCAAGCAATTTCTTCAATTGAAAATATATTTGAACTATTTAAATCATATACAAATATTTTTGGATTCTTATTTAGTTTAAAATATTAAAATCATTAGATACTGAGAGTTTAAAAAAATATTGGCTTAACCTTGAGAACTTCTTAAAATGTGATTAATTTTCTGATATCGATGGATTAGATTTATTTTTAAAATTAAAAGTCGTAAGAGAAGTTTTACAAATAGATTGCAACACTCCAATAAAAACATTAAGTTTTATCAAAAGGTTAAATTTTTTTTCTAAATACACTTATTGCTTATAGAATAATATTGACAATATTCGTAATAGTTGCTTCTGATGAAAGAAATTTTTCAAAATTAAAACTTATAAAACCTTACTTACATGATCAACTATGTCGTAAAAAAGATTGAATGGATTAACCCTATCATCCATTGAAAATGATATATTAGCAAAACTTGAATGTAAAAAATTAATCACTAAATTTGCATCACAAAAAGTGAGAAGAACAAATTTTAAGTAAAATATTAATCATATAATATATTTATAATAAATTTTAGAAGGGACTCATTTAAAGCTTCTACATAGAGCCCCCACTTACATCGAGCCGGCCTTGTCACCAGCTGATATCGTTATGACCTTATTATTACAAAATATTAAAAGCAGTTTGCAGAAGGGCAAAAACTAACTAGACCCAACTTAAGTTCGGTTATACTAATTAGAATCTTGTAGATATATTTTTCCTCCTATTCTTGCTTTCAAACACATCTACATTGAACTTCCATTTGCATCTCAAGCTTTCTGCTTCTTATTTCCTCCTTAAACATGGTAAAAAAAAGTATAGTGCCAATAAATAATTGTAATTTTGAAACTAAGTGAGAAGTTCTATGTTGGGAAAGTTCACACCCAACATTCTGGCCTCATATAATTTTCAAACTGGTTTAAGTTGTTATACTTGGTGAAAATAAGAACTACAATAGTAAAAGGTCGAAATTAAATTATGGAGCCAGTTTAAGATATCCTTCAAAGTAACAATTTTCAACAATTTTTAATTTCTTTATTTCTTATATTCTCTTCCATGCTTGCTTTCTAGTAGTGTGATCAAGACAATTTATAAACTAAGAGAATACTATGCAAACATAAATCATCATTTGTTGGCTGGCATCTAATTGCAAGCATTTCTAATGTTGGTTTGCAAATTGACAGAAAACAAAAGGAAGTTGGAACACGAGGGTAGGAGGCTAGGAGCGAGTAAATTGTAATTTACTATGGCAAAGGATTTCCCTCTTAAAACCCAAGTAGCTTATTGTGGAATTAATATAAAGAATTTAACCATATCAAAGAAATGGATATGGTTCTCATAATCCTATTTTTACATTTGTGGTTGTGGTTTTCACGATTTTATATTTACATGTTCAAGGTATTTTTTTGATGTGCAGTGTACAGGTTTGGACTTCTAAGCCCTAACCATGTTTGGAGTGTGTGTGTGTGTGTGTACATTTCTCAATGTTGAAAGGCAAAAAACCTTATCCCTCATCACTTGGGTTTACGTGTGATTGAAGTTATAGATCCCCATCACTCCTCCGAAAGTTAGGTACTCTTAAATAAGAGTTGATAATTTACAACTTCTGTCTAAGGGAGTATGGCTTGAAATGTTATGGAGAAAAACTGAAAAACTAGAGTTTAGAAGGAACAAAGATAATTGGGCACTGCAAGTCAATTCCAGTCCCAGGATTTCAGGAATGTGAACTGACACGAGTAAAAGATAAACTTATGTCAAAAACCTGAATTTGGTGGACTTTCTCCATATATTATTCCACCTGTGTCTTTATTGTCTGATCCAAGATCCCTTATTCTATTCAACTCGGACAATATGACCAAACCAAGGTCAGGCCGGTCCTTCCTCCTCAACTCACAACACTGTAAAGCTAGTTTTGCAAATGACAAGGCCTCCTCAACAGGCCAATCATTCACTGTTGGATCAAGCATCTCTGAAAATGTTCCTTTCTGGATTGCCCTCTCCATGTGGTATGTTAGACCAATGTTAGGTTTTGCTGTAAGAATTTGCAATAAGATTACACTAAGCGAATATATGTCAAATTTTGTGCCTAGCATCCCTATTTGTTGATACTCCAGGTCAATGTAACAGAATGACCCAGCTACTGCTATCATGTGATATTGAGTTACCCCATCAGCCACGAATGGTGGAACCAGCCTGGCTAAGCCAACATCACTGATCTTGCTCATATAGTTTCGGTCTAAGAAAATGTTGGCAGGTTTGAGATCGCTATGCACTAGAGGCTTGGGTTTTGTTTGGTGAAAAAAATTAAGGGCAATAGCAATTTCAAAAGCTATTTTGAAACGGGTTCTCCATGAGATTGCGGGAGTGTTGTTTCTATGGAATAGCCGGTCTTCTAAGCTGTCATTTTCCATGTATTTATATACAAGGCATCCGTACTCAGGGCAAGCTCCAACAAGAAGAACCATGTTTGGATGTCTCATGCAACTTAGCACCTCAATCTGCATTGAGATAGATAATTAAAGAGAAGGTTAGACTAATGTACGACAACCACTTTCAATCTAGCAGCCTTCACTGGTTTCTTAGTTTCATTGAATACGTCATTTGTCATAGACACTCCTGCCAATAAGTAAAAAAATTGATGTGCTTTGGTTTTGTTCTCTTATATCATGCTTTTCTTGTCTGTCGATCTCGGAAAGGTTAGGGCTTATGGTGTTCAAAAAGGGTTGGCTAGTGAGGATTGTAGTGAAGAAAATGAAGTCATTTGGCACTTTCGGCATTGGACGAAAATTTTGGTTCCTACAATACTGCTGTCAATAGAATGACTGGAAAGAGCCTGAGTAATGGTTAGCAGTATCTCGTGATGGTGCTAGGTAGTTGTGATGTATAGGTGATGTCAGCAGAGTATAGAAACAAGGGACACTCTTTTTGCACAGGCCAGGATCCTAAGGTAACCTGCAAAATAATGAAGGGAGAATCTAGAGGATGATCGCCAGATTTCCTCATAATTTATGTCGCTTCTTCTACATCTACCCAGTGTTAATGGAACATGCATAAAATAATATTTATTTCTCTGTGTCTTAATGAACCAGATGCACGAAAACTTCCCAAGTGTTTTTTGCATGTTTTTGAATGATAATTTCGTATTATTTGAAATGATGATAGAAAGATCTAGGTGGTAACAAAATAAGATATTCAAAACAGATCATCAATTGATGAGCCCAGATCCAAACTAGGCTTAGGCCCAATCCATGGGTTGAACCCAATTTGAAGTTTAAGAATCTATAAAAAGTCAACGCACATGAGAAAATAATCATCGAGATAGTCATTATTTCAAAATAGTGCACATCCTCAATTGTAGCTATCCTTCTTGATAAATTAGTAGATTGACTTTCACGTCACTGTCTCAATTAGGGTTCTGTGCCAATAAATTGTATATCCCTCACACAAAACACACGCACTACACCTTAAGNAACCCAATTTGAAGTTTAAGAATCTATGAAAAGTCAGCGCACATGAGAAAATAATCTTCGAGATAGTCATTATTTCAAAATAGTGCACATCCTCAATTGTAGCTATCCTTCCTAATAAATTAGTAGATTGACTTTCACGTCACTGTCTCAATTAGGATTCTGTGCCAATAAATTGTATATCCCTCACACAAAACACACGCACTACACCTTAAGCGTACTCATGTTGTCTCTCTCTCCTACTATCTTGTACTCTCTTATTAATAGAGTTTTTCGGCCGCTATTGCTGCCTTCAATGGTTAGGTCACCCATATCCAACCACCTAATTTTTATTTTTTATTATTAATTACTTTATTAATTGTTTTATACCACACATTCGACTAACTTGATCGTGCAAAATCAACTTTGTGCATCATCATCGATCATAACAATATTCCATACATCTACTATCTGCAAAAATAAAAACTGAATATGGAATATGGAATACCTCTTGTTGAAACTATTTCTGCCCTTGTGAAATATCCGGCCTAAAAACCTTAATGGCAACAACTGTGTGATCAAGCAAGGCTTTATAGATAGGCCCATATCCTCATTCACCAATCTTTGCTGAACTGGAGAAGTAACTTGTTGCAATTTTAATTGCTTCTCTGGTGTACTTTCTATACCGAATGTCAAAGCGTGCCAACGCTTCCATCACTTTCTTTTTCTCTTCTTCTTCATGCCTTGCCTTCATTTCAATACANTCGCAATTTTAATTGCTTCTCTGGTGTACTTTCTATACCGAATGTCAAAGCGTGCCAATGCTTCCATCACTTTCTTTTTCTCTTCTTCTTCATGCCTTGCCTTCATTTCAATACATCTTCATTTATAGGATTCCAATTCTGCCAGACGTTGCGCCATCTGTGCCACTTCCATGGCAGCCTTGGCTTTTTGCTTCTCCACTTCCACTATGGCGAAAGCAGCCTCTTGCGCTTGCTTGGCTTCTTATAACTTGTGTGCCTCTACTGATTTCCATAGATTAATTTCACTTGCTTGGGAAACACAAGAGTCATGTGATTGATATTTAATACTGTAAGGTTATATGTACATACTGACTATACTAAACTCACTAGTTGAAGTTTTAATCTTATCTTCTGTTTAGAAGTCATTGTTTCTTTGCAAGCTGAGTTGTACATTTCCATGGTTTGCTTCAATTCAAGTTTTAATCTCCTCATTTCGTGATGTGATGTAATTGATTAAAATGAGGATTAGCAAAGCAATTAAAATAGATAATTGTTAACTGAGAGTGGTATATATAAGTCATACAATGACCTACAAGAAACCCTATATGATTGTAAAGTGTTTTTCATTTTATCCATCCTTGTGGTTAAAAGGAAATGCATGTATCAGTATATCTATCCACATGTTTGGTTACAGTTTTGAAACAAAATCCACTGATGCGCTTTGTTGGAAAAAATAGTTTTGGTACTTTCATTCAGACAAATGAGAACAGGCACTCATCCAAAAATCCACCCAAACAAAATCAACTGCATACTTCCTTGGGGCAACAATAATGGTGCACTCTTTTTGGCTACTAGTGCAAAATTTGTCCTATTCACTCAAACTGGGTGTATGCTTATACATACTATGGCAATCAAATTATGTCTTGTTTTGCAAGGACTTCACAGACATTGTCCAAAGGACAAAACAAAGTCACATAAAATGATGAGTCATTGTCTACATCTAATTCAACACGCGAATGCTAGAATGGACTAAACGATATCCAACATAAACTTGCGATAACTTTATTTATTTCCAATGCAACTACAACAATTGGAATAATAATAATAGTAGTAGTAGTAGTTTCATAGAACATCCAAATGCATCGTTGTTTAATATTAAAGAAATTGGGTATGACTAATAGCACAACATACTATATTAAACCTAGCACATGAAACTCTTTTAATTAGGGCGGCAGCAAGATTTGAACGCATGACATTTTGCTCTGATACCATGTTAAACAACTATCTGCTACAAAAGTTTAAGTTGTTAGAGAGGGTGTAACTTTAATATTTATACTTCAACAAATCCTACCATTCTTTTAATCATATGATGTGCCATTACAAGATATGGGACATGAGACTTACTAGGGGGTTGGAAGGAGATTGAGCTCCTAGAAGCATCTGATATGCAGGAGTGGTCAAAATTTTCAAAGGAGATATTAGATGATTGGAAACTAGGTGGCCTCAAAAATCCACCCGATTCCGATGAGGAATCTTAACAGGACGGACTTGCTAATTTGGTGCGAACCTGAAGATTAATAAGATTGGCTAGTGATTGTTGGGGTAAAGGAATCTTGTTGCCTATAGGGATCCTCTCAAGTGAATGAGTTATCATCATAAAATCACCCGTGTTGCCGGATGATATTTTCTCACTGCTCGTATCAAAGTATATCCTTTCGCTACTTCTGTCAAATGAAATTTTCTCAAAGCATTTGCTTCCCCAACTCCTTTGACTATATGTTCTACAAAAGCAGAAGTAGAGACATGAATCCAAAAGCAAGAAATATGTAAGCCTTGCATGTAGTAAGTAGGTTGACTATACAAGCTATGCATTGGCAGACATGCATAAATTAAATGAAAAAAGATCAGTACTATCTGATATGATGTTGTTTGCACACTTGTTCTCAAATATACTAGATCATGTTGTGATCTTAAGTTCCTAAAAATGATATTATATTTTCCTCCACTAGGAACATATTAATTAAAAGAGGAAATAAAAAATCATACTTTTAAAAGTAATCAATCAATTAGTCTGACAAACATTCATGAGATGCTCACTCTACCTAGTTAAAAAGAGTGTGTATTACTATCTTCTCCATGTAACCTTAAACCATTATATAAAATTTACAGTTGTTATGCACTCATGAAGAAAACACTTGAGAACTTTCACGACATACATACTGATTAAAATCCTCAGAGGATGGGGTATCTAATGTTTAAGATTGTTGCCGGCTGGAACTAGCTGTACTAGGCGTAGGAGGTCGACTAGCCGACTTGACATTATGAACTAGTCCTTTAGATGATATCGCATACACTGAACAAAATTATGGAGCAGATCTCCCTATATTAGTTGGCACATCTACATTTATGATTGCCCTGTGAGACAAAATTGAAATGAGCATTCTTTCAATTCGAAGTAAAAAAAATAAAGTCTAGGTGCTTCAACCTCCTCCTAAAGCTCTAAATAATAAAAAGGGACAAGGACAGGGAGAAAGAAACAATGTTAGGGAACTTCAGCTAGAAGAACCCATGACAAGAGTACTAATGAAGTTGTCATTGATAAAATCAACAAGGGCATTGGCAACATCAAGGTCATAGAGGGCCACCTCCTTTGCTCGAACCTGAAATATAACCTTGTACTGATCAAATCATGTATGTGACGAAGAAAATACTATTTGAACTTAATTTAGGGATATAATTTGGGAACTTAATTTTACGCAATTGGTAGTGGGCTTCATCTAATATTAGAACTCTCAATTAATCTAATAACTATATTAAATTAGGTATCTAATTAATCTAACATTGGTCGTGTGATAAGGGTAGCGACTTTCAACCTTGTTAGAGATGGTTTTTCGAATTTTAATCTCAATAAATTTGTTAGGGATTGAAGTATCCTTTACAATGCCGCANTTTACGCAATTGGTAGTGGGCTTCATCTAATATTAGAACTCTCAATTAATCTAATAACTACATTAAATTAGGTATCTAATTAATCTAACATTGGTCGTGTGATAAGGGTAGCGACTTTCAACCTTGTTAGAGATGGTTTTACGAATTTTAATCTCAATAAATTTGTTAGGGATTGAAGTATCCTTTACAATGCCGCAAGAATCAATTCAATCAGAGATCGAGGTAAAATGTTATGTCAAAAATACTATTTTCGTCTAGAGGCGGATGACTTACTACACAAAACTTGTATTACAATTTCAACCCTGTTAGAGTTGGATTCAAAAATTTTGATCTCAATAAATAGTTTATTGAGATTGAGTATTCTTTACCATGCCACAACAATCAGCTCAATAGAAGATTGGGGTAAAATGTTATATCATAAATACAAAAATAGGGAATATTATTTTTCCTTCCAAAGGCATGACTTACTACACCAAATTTGCATCACAATTTTGACCTTGTTAGAGATGAATTCATAAATTTTAATCTCAATAAATGAGTCAGGGATTAAAGTATTATTTACAATGTCACAAGAATCAGTTCAATTGAAGATCATGACTAAAAGTAATGTCAGAATACTATTTTCTTCCAAAGGAGAAAGACTTATTACACCAAACTTGCTTCATAATTTTGACCTTGTTAAAGGTGGATTGACGAATTTTGATCTCAATAAATTGTTTATGGATTTAAATATTATTGACAATGCCGCAAGAATCATTTCTATCATAGATCAGAGTAAAAATTTATCTCAAAACTACTAAACAAGTGAAAAATTACTTTTTCTTGCAGAGGCAAAGGACTTACTACACCAAACTTGCATCACAATTTTGACATTGTTAGATATGAATTCACTAATTTTGATCCCAAAAAATTGTTTAGGGATTGAAGTATTCTTTACAATACCACAAATATTAGCTAAATTGGATATCGGGGAAAAAAGTAATGTCGTAAATACTATTTTCTTCCAAAGGTGGATTACTTACTATACTAAACTTGCATCATAATTTCGACATTGTTAGAGGTGGATTCACAAATTTTAATCTGAATAAATTAGTTATGGATTGAGGTATTATTTACAATGCCACAAGAATCAGTTCAATTGGAGATTGGGGTAAAAAGTTAATTAGAAATTCTATTTCCTTTCGAAGGTAGATGACTTACTACACAAAACTTGCATTACAATTTCGACCTTGTTAAAGGCACATTCATGAATTTTGATATAAATAAATTGTTTAGGGATTGAAGTATTCTTCACAATGCAACAAGAATCAACTCAATCAGAGATTGAAGTAAGAAGTTATATAAGAAAATACTAAAGTAAGGGGAAATTACTTTTCCTTCCGAAGGCGGATGACTTACTACATCAAACTTGCATCACAATTTTGATCTTGTTAGAGGTGGATTCATGAATTGTGATCTCAATAAATTTGTTAGGGATTGAAGTATTCTTAACAATCCCACAAGAATCAATTCAATCAGAGATCGAGGTAAAAAGTAATGTTAGAAATACTATTTACTTTCGGAGGTAAAAGACTTACTACACCAAACTTGCATTACAATATCGATCTTTTTAGAGGTAAATTCACAAATTTTGATCTAAATAAATTATTTGGAGATTGAAGTATTTTGTACGATACCGTAAGAATCAGCACAATTGAAGATCGAGGTAAGCAGTTATGTCATAAAACTTACTACACTAAACTTGCATCACAATTTTGACCATGTTAAAGGTGGATTCACGAAATTTGATCTCAATAAATTGGTTAGGGATTGAAGTATTCTTTAAATTGGAAATCGAGGTAACAGGTTATATCATAAATACTATTTCCTTACAGAGGCGGATAACTTACTATATTAAACTCATATTACAATTTCGACCTTGTTAGAGGTGCATTCATAAATATGATATGAATAAATTATTTAGGGATTGAGGTATTCTTTATAATGTCATAAGAACCAACTCAATCAGAGATCAAGGTAACAAATTTGAGATAAAAATTTGTGAATCCACCTCTAATAAGGT